GCGCACCCACCGCGGCTGCGCCGAGCAGCGACCCGCGACCCCGCGGAGAGCGAGGGGGGCGGCTCTGCAAACACAGGTATTTTCCCTAGCAATTTGCGTGCCTTTTAAAGACGGCAGAACCTGTTTTCCCCAGCTGAAAAGCAAGCTTTTTATCTAAAGGTCAGAAAAACAAGCCCCTGAGATGAAGATCATCGGTGAAAGTGTGATGAGAGCCAGAGAAGGTTCCTGAGCAAAAGGTGGCACAAGCATTAGCACAGGCAAGAACAGCAGCTATTTTGAGGTTGCGTGCTGATTTGGTTTGTTCTTCTTTGACAGCCAGGGCTGCCTGTGGGTGGCAGGAGGTGCAGAGCGGGAGCCAGCCTGTGCTGCACCCCATGGGCACAGCTCTGCCCTGCCGAGTTGTGGTGGCACCTGCCCTTCTTGCTCAACCGGGCTGAACGTGCCAGCCACGCAGCTACGGGCAGGAGAAACCAGACAGGTCTGGGAGATCACACACCTCTCCCCAAAACACACCACCCCAGCTGAGGGAGCTTATCCACCAGGCTCTGGTTATTTGTCCCTGCAAGGTGCTAAGAGGAACTGTGGCTTGGGGACGATTGTTCCAGGGATGGTCACTGTAGGATTAATGTCCATGTGAGAAAGACCACAGTCTTTTCTAACTGTCTCCAGAGCAGTATCTCAGTGCCGTCACTCTCTGAGGCTCTGTGTAATTAAACATGTGCTGCAGCACTTGGGCAGCTGTGGGACTCTCCTTGCAACAGCTTGCTCTGATAAAAGAGACTCATAGAATGTTTTGGGTTGAAAGGGACCTTTAAAGGTTATCTAGTCCAACCCCCTGCAGTCAGAAGCAACATCTTCAACTAGAGAGGTTGCTCAGAGCCCAGTCTGACCTGACCTGGAATGTTTCCAGGGATGGGGCATCTACCACCTCTCTGGGCAACCTGTGCCAGTGTTTCACTGGAAATCTCTCTCTGTCCACCAGTTTCCTAAAGACCTTGGGAAACAAGTGTCTTCATCCCACATAACACAGAAGGTAGCTCCTGGGTAGCTTTATGCTTCTAGCCTGTTGGTAGCTGGGAATACATGTGTGATAGGTTAGGTTCTGTTTTTTTTCTGGTAGCATGAGGCTTTTGCATTAAAAGAACTATCTGTGAGAAGGCTCCAGAAGAGCAGTGAGGCTCTGTAAATAAGTGGAGACTCGAGCTAAATGTTGCATGTTATCTATGGGAGCACCTAAGGTGTGGGATGGTTTGAGCTCGCAGACATGGCTTGGCAGTCTTGGAGCACATCAGCACAGGGGTCTGTTACCTCAGCTCAGCTGCAGTAGCTCAAGCACCTGCCTGTAGGTATCAAAATTCTGTAACTACAGATTTTTAGCTAGAACTTGACAGTGACAAATGACAGGGAGCGCTTGCTGACACCCACTCAACCGTCAAATCAAGATTAGAATGTGCCTATTTTGGTTTCCCCTTTAATCAAAAATCAATTAAACAATTTCCAAATGAATACTCAGTCAAGGAGCTGGGCTGTCAGGCAGACTGACAGAACTTGGCACCACCTTCTTTGTGTTTTTCATTTTAGAGTTATTCAGTGTACTGAAAGTAAACAAGTGGATGAGGAAGGAAAAATATCTTTCTTTTTTCCCCTCTGAGATGTCCCAGCGAGTGTCACCTCAAATCCTGATGAAGCTTATTCTGTATTCCAGATGTTCAAAACATCCTCCATGTAATGTTACTGAGCCTGGTGTTTGGCTGCATTGTTCTTTTCCTGCTCCTATCTGACATGCAACCAAAAGATCAGTTGCTTTATTTCTGTTTTAGGGTACGTGTGAGAGTATTTTTAACTTGCTTATCAAAGAAAACCAGAGTTATGCAACAGCTCTTTGCTTATGAAGTCTCTGCACTTCCCTGTTCCCCAAAGAAAGTTCTAAAAAACAACTGGGCAATTTTGACTGAATTTGATGAAAAGGAATGATTTCAGAGATGCTTTGTTTTCCAACAGGCCTGTACCACAGAGGTCCTCAAAGCTGTGTGAAGGAAGGACTTTGGCACTTTTAAGGGGAGCCCCATGGGACACCAAGAACCCAGGTCTGGACTTCTCTACATCAGAAGAACAAGCCTGAGGATAAATGTGGAGCAGGAGGACAGGCACTCAGCTTACCTGGACAGCGGATGACAGATGATTTGGGGAAGGTTTTTGTACTAGGCAAGGAGATTGGCACCCTGTCCTTTGTGGATACCCGAAAGCTTCTCATCACCTTCCAGGTGCAGAACCTGTATGAGAAATACTGAAGACAGCAAACCTCCAGACAGACACCTACAGCTGAGATCCTGGTGAGTGTCTCATCTGCATTTTCATCATGTCAGAGGAACAAATGGCTGGAGAAGAAGGCTGGCATCCACAGAGCCTCCTCCACTGTGGGAGAGGGGGGAGATATACCTTCTCCAGAAGTGCATCAGGATGGGGAAGATGATGACCTTGGCCCTGTGGTAGAGGACACGGTTCAGTATCCCCTTGGAAGATAAACTCCAGATTAAATCTCTCTCTTCTTCAGAGATGTTCACCTGGCCACAGAAGAGACCTTACTTAACCAAAGCAGTTTTCTGCACTCCTGATGGGCCCCAGAGGCGTGTTTCTCTCCCTGGCCCCACTTTGCATTTTAGCAGTCTCTAAGAAGAGATACTAGTTGCATCCTGGCTGACTGTCCCAGGTACAAGGGCAGGATCCCCTCTGGGTTTCTGTGGAAAGCACTGTGCCATGCTTTCCAAAGGGAAGATAGGCAGAGCCATGGCTACTGCAAGGGGAAGAGGTGGCTGCAGTGGGGAGAGGTGTAATGGTGACATGGACTTCTGGGGAATGAAAGGACTGAATTGGTGGCATGCAGCACTCATCCTGGTGCTTCAACCCTAGCATTTCTCCAGCAGATAAGGGATTTCACCATCTCAGTGTTAACACACTTGTTCTCAATCTGTCTGGGTCAAGTGCTAGCATGAGTCTGGTGGTTGATAATTTTCCATCCCACAGAACCCAAGAGGAGGTCCTAAGCTCCAGAGCACACTCTGAAACTTCACAGCATGCTTGGTTGGAGGAGATACTAACCTCTGCCTGGTTCCCCTTTCCCCATGACTGCTCACAGCTGCATTGCAGTGGTCTTGAGCAACAAGCAGCCAGCAGCCTTCAGCCTTCCTGGGTGGGTCCCAGCATCTTACCCGCAGTTTGGGGGGAATATCAGAGTTCAGGAAGAGTTTGCTGATGATGGCAGCTTTCTTTTTGAGAAAGGCAACTTCCTGTTTTGACTGCATGTTGCAGGCTGCCAAAGCTTCAACTGAATCAGCCAGTCTGGAAAACCTGTGAAGGCATGTGAGGTCTTGCTCTGAGACAAGTGCTCTGACTGCTAGGCTGGACAGTCATGTTCTGTCTTAGCTCCACGTTTACTGGGTCAGAAAAAGTAATTATGAGGTGTGGAACAGTGAAACAAGTGGGATGAGAAGCCACTTCTCTCCTCTACCACCCTTGTGGTCATGACATTCACCTGTGGGAAGTGCAGTTTGCCCTTCTGGAAAGGAGGAGGCTCAAAGCCTGGTCTCACGCGTGGCAGGGCGTGCTGGCTGCGGGGCTGTTGTGCATTGGCCATGGCCAATTTGCAGGTTTGCCAGGGAACTGGACAAGGTCAGTGGAGATATAACACAACTGGCACATCAAGTCTAAGCAAAATGTTAAGTTGCTTCAGACTATCAAACCAAAAGTACTTCTGGGTTACCCAAACAGGAACTCTTAGCTGGGGTACTTTTTCTGGCTGAAAGGGAGGGTCTGGGGGGCTCCAGCAGCAGGTAGCCATGAGCATATTACATGTAGGCAGCTATGGGGTGAGATTTTGGTTGCATTGTTTGCTGCAGTGGGATGTCCAGATACTAGCCCTGTGTAGGGGAGTTTGATAGGAGTTTAGGGGTGGCAGCACAGACCTTAGTGGGTACTAATAAATCCATAGTCCAGGCTTTGTCCTCTGCTGAGAGATGGGCACTACCACAGGATGGGAGACTGGTGGTACCTGAGCTGCCATTGGAACGGGAACTTACCTGTCCATCTCCAGATAAAAGCGGAGGTCATCCACGAGGAAGTTGACAGTAATGGGCTGGCCGTTAAACAGGTGACGTCTCACTAGTCCCACCTCCTTGTCTGGTGGGGTCCTGGCAGAGGCTGTGGGGGAGCGGAAATGGTTCAAGGTGCTGCTACTCCTCATTGAGTTGATGGACAAGTCTGACAGAAGGGAAGAGCTGTTGTGTCCTGCTTCTCCCAGCACTGGGTTTGAGGCCAGCTGATGCTGAGCTACACCCTGCTCCTTCACCTCACCTGTGCTTGTGTTACCTGCACGCAAGTAACTGAGAGTCAAGTGCTGAGAGTCTTTCTACCTTCCTGCAGCCAGGCTCTCCATGGAATCCAGACTCATCCAGTGTGCAGCCTTCCCTCTAGCTTAGTAACCTCCTTGCACCCATAAAGTGCTTATGTTCATTGTTTTCATAGGGGAAGGCCACAGTATGTTAGATCAAAAGTCTGCTGGTCTGTCTAGACATTACCCTGTCTCTGACAGGGGCAACAAGCAGATAACTAGGGTGAAGAAAAGGTAAAAATCTGTGTTACTTCCCCCCTGCACAACATTCTCCAGCTTTCCTGAGTTTCATTTCCTCAGGGACTTCTTCATCTAGGTGGGGGTTTCTGTGTATTTAGCAATACTAAATATATGGTGATATATGGTAAATAAATAAATGGTTTAGTGATTTCTAATTACTTTTCCATTGTCCTCTAGAACCTGTGTGTAAACTTTCAGGATCCACACCCCTTGGCAAAGCACTCTGTAGGTCAGCTCCCTGTTGCAAAGAAAGACATTTCCTTTTGTTTATTTTTTGACTTGTGTTACCTTAGCTTCATTTAGTGCCTCCTGATTTTTTTTTTTTTTTTTTGTGGCAGGGGTACAAACTTGCATCTCTCTCAAGCAATAACACATATACAACAGCATCATGGGACACCCACACTGGAAAAACAGTGCATGAATGTGTACATGTGCATGCTGCCTGTGCAAAATTTTGGACCTCATGTCCCAGCTCCAGTGCCTAAGCTTGCAGATTTATACACAGCATCCTAACATATCTACTCTCCTGGCTCTTTATATGCCTTCAGCAGAGAAAACTAAGGTCAGTATATGGGGATGGGAGATAAGCCACAGGTTTCCTCCATTTACTTCTCTGCCTAACCTCAGGACTGTCTTGGGGAGGGAGGGGAATGGGGTAGCAGGAGTCTAGCCATACTTTCCTCCTCATTTCCTAGTTCCCTACGGAGAAAGTCCTCGAACTCCAGGCGGCATTTGTCGTTGTTCATCTCCCTCCGGAACTTGCAGAGGCTCCTGACAATGTCATGGATGGCATACCAGGCCCACTGCTGCAGAGACACACCACAGCTTGGGTCAGCCAGCAGCACAGCCCCAGGGAGCCAGCCCTTGGCTGCAGCAGTAGGGTTGCTCTCAGACAAAGGCCTCCTGTTTGGACCCACCACTGTGAGCTGGAGCACCAGAGCCCAGCCTTGGCGGTGGGATTTGTGACCCAGCCATCATCTTTGCTTTCTGGTATTTCTCAGTTTCACTAGTGGCCACAGGTGATAGTGTGAATCACTTGGCCAGTCCTAATGAAATTGGGTGAAGCCTGCATGGAGCAGGACTCCAGAGACTGTAGGAGTGAGCCCTTACCTATCAGCTGCCTTTCTGCATCTCTCCAAGTCTGAGCCTCTTCTCTCCATTTAAGTGAGTACAGCTCAACTCACAGCATCTCCTCTCTTTCTTGCCTGGACAACATCCTCAGCCTGCCAGCAGAGAGGGGCTTTCCTTACCAGATTGTCTGTCTTGAAGTTTTCCATCCCATGCCGCAGACGAAGGTTGGACTTGGGCGTATCGCTCGGGGGGAACAGGCTCTGGTACTCCTTAAACCTGCAGATGGGAGATCAGAGAGAGAGCATCGAGCACAGCCAGATACACGAGGAGGGCAGTGGCTTGGTGAGAGGAGGGTGGCTAAGTGGGGGCAGCAGCTGACATGGGTATCCCTGGGGTTTTGGTCCCACTGGATTTCTGTTGCTGGAGGAGGTTGGAGAATGGGACAGAGGGCTGGATCCCCTTCCCTGGGCTCTGTTCTTGCATGCAGCAGGCTTGGGAGTCTCTACTACTTATATGCAGCAGCTTTCCTTCTCCAGTCCAGCACCCTGCAAGCCCAACAGTGATTTGGTCCCTGTGGGACAAGCCCTGCTGGCCATGCACAGATGAGTGCATCAGCAGCTGCCACAGCAGTTTTGCTGGGGTGAGGGTCAGGCTGGGATTTTGGTGCTTATAGTTCACAGTGAAACTCGTTTGTAGCAGTTGCTGTCTGCCACCTTGGGGTGGTATGGATGTTGGGAAGGATGTGTTCACGTAACCATTGGGCTTAAGGAACTAGCTTGACCCAGGTGCTCACCATCGTTTTTCCATTGCTTTCTGGACAAAGATCTGTGCTGTTATCAACATGAAGGGGCTGACTGCTTTGGCTTCACTAATTTCTTTGATGATAGGAGCTTGGCAGTCTAGCTGTTCCTCTGGAAGAGAAGTGAAGTCACTCCCTGCCCCTGCCAGCCAATTACTATAATAAAAAATATAAAATACTATGCTAATTGCACACTTTGGGAATGAAGCTGTGAATCCAAGAGCATCTAAAGGAGACAAGATAGGAAAGAGCTATTTCTGCTACTGTGGGAATTGCACACTGCAGGTCTTGGTCAGTAGATCCTGCCCACGTAGAAGACTACATTTCTAGAAGTAGAAGTGGCAGTGGAAGGCAAATAATAGTTCACTGGATGGGAAAGGAGAATTGGCAGGTCCCTGCAAGAGGATGTAAAATCTGCAACCAGCATCTAGCCCAGGGAAAAGACACTTTCATCATGAATGGAGTAACATGCAGGATGGGAGGGCACCTACCAGCTGGGATTTCACCATGGAAAAAATTTCTGACAATGCTGTTAACGAGGAAGCTCTTTGTCTTGGGATTGGTCTCTGTGACCAGTTTCTCCATGGCTATCCAGAAATGCAGTGGTTTATCTGCATCACGTTCCTCAAGGAACTTCTTGAAGTATTGCAAGTGGTCAGTGTTGTGCAGCACTTTTATGAAGTGCCTGCAGAGAAAGGAAAACCAGTAGATGTGATCTCTGTGCCACTAGTGACCTGGAAGATAGCCAGGACCTCTGCTTGCTTCTCCAGCAAGAGACATTCAGGAGAATCAGGAGATTAGTGACATGTAAAGCCAGAGGACAGCTACGTTGAAAGATTCAGCAGAATTTTGGAAAACCAAGGCTAGGATGGGAGTGGACATTGGATTTTGGGTCATTTATGAGATTAGCAAGCCCTTATTTGAAGATCAGTGGACTGGGCCAAATATTTTCTTTAAGCGTTGCTCCTGAGACTGACTTTCACAATAACAAGAACTGCTCCTACTCAGGACTTGTGTCCTGGTTACCATTTATATCCCAGTGTGGAGCTGCCTTGGATTCATGTCTGGAGTATTGCCAGGAGGTGAGACACAAGTCACAGTGCCATTCACGTGGTCAGCAAGTAAATGTCTAAGTGTGACCACAGGGTGATTTTCAGTGATTTTTTTTTTCTGGGAATCCAAGAGCTGACCAGGTGTAGTGCAGATGACATGCCAGGGAGTGTCTGAGGATGAAGTGTTTGAGACATGCACAAGATGTGAGGAGTGAATCTCAACTATGGACTTGGGGGTGCATTAAGACATTTTTCTCCTCTCCTCAGTAACTCTGCAGTTCAGTCCCACAGGCCACCCATACCTACATCTGAGAGGGCCCAACAATGAAGCAGGGAGCAGTGGCACTACAGGGAAGCTCTAGGAAAGGTCTGCTGCCTGAAAGAGTGGAAGTAGCAAAAACCATCAAACCCTGTGCTGCAGGGTGACAGACCTGGGTCTTCTAGATGGCTTCTCTACTACAACAGTGGTTGTGCTTGATTTGGTTTTTCTCAGAGGAACGGTCGTCTTCTTTTTATTCATGTTCTCCACAGCTGTCGGGACAGAACAGGGTTGGCCTTTTCTTCAGGTGACAACCAGAGCCTGCTCACACGTGTCCTCAAGGCAAAGGACCCCAAAGAAAGCTGGGCTCTCCCCAGAGCCACCATGCTGACGCCTGCACGGTGAGCCCTGCTCAGGAGACACCGGGCGCTGTGGGAACTCTTCGTGCCTGCATGGTTTGGCCTCTTTGCATTTGCTTCAGGGAAGCCCTCCCCCCCCCCCCCCTCTGGCTGGATCAACACTCTAAAATGTGTGCCTTTCAAAGGTGGCCAGGCCTCTCTCTCCTTCTGGAGCTGTACCAGATGATGGGATGCAAGAATGGAAGAGCCCTGCTTGTCCAGCTCCCTAAGGGTATGTTAGAGGACTTCCAAAGGCATGAAGGTTGGGGGCCCACTCTGCTTCTAGCCTGCTCAGACTGGACTCACCACGTGATGGGCTTTTGAGACGCAGAAGCTTGTTTTCCCTCCTTGGTCTATCTGCAGCCTGTAGGGGTTTCTGAGCAGCCAGCACGGGTTTCTGAGCAGCCAGCACATTGGATATCATCTTCTGGGAGTCTGCATCAGATAGAGAAGCCAGAACAGATCTCATGTTCCTTCCTCCTGGCTATGACAGCCCTTCAGCACTTGCTCCAAGTGCTGTATTTGGTTTGCTACTCACCTTTCCTTTCCCCTTTTCTGTCCTCTTCCCCTGACCTACCCATGACACTGCATTTCTCAGGTATGACCTAGGCCCCTCAAGCTACCTAAGGGTTGCTACAGGTGACTACTGTCACTCTCAGTGCACTGGCAGGTGCCCAGAAACTTGATGTCATTCTCAAAAGATGATTTAAGGAGACAAATCTGGGGTTTTACACCAGCATAGCCAGTACCAGTGTCCACAGAAAGTCAAGATGGGGAAGGGGAGTGGCAGTTGGCTGTTGTTGGTTTGGTTGTCAGTTGCTTTGCTGCAGCGAAGTCTGGTGACCCAGGCTAGTGGCATTTGGTGCCTCTGGTACTGGCAGGAGGGAGTTTGGCACATAGCTCACTGCCCAAGCTTAGGTTACAGCTTATGGGTCCCAGATACCCTGTTCCAATCCGCTCTGTGATGTCCATGCACAATCAGCAATGCACCAAAACCTGTGTGTTAGAGTCACAACAGATACATGAAATGTGCTTTATCAGCCTGAGCCAACGTGAGCCCTGGCAGAAATGCAGAGCCTCCTCTTACCAGTCTTGCACAGGAGAAGTTCCACCTCTGCCTGGATGGAGCCCCCTTTCCGGAGGTCCCGAGTGGCAATTAATTGCACGTGCTTGGCAGAGAGAGCTTCCAGGTTCCTGGTGCCATGCAAGGCCTGGCTCAGCTTCAAGGACGCGTTTATCCGCTGGGACAGGAGGAAACGTTTGTCTTTCCCACCAGCGTGGCCTTGCATCTTGGGCATCGGGACATCGCTCTGCGGAGACTGCGGCAAGAAGAGCAGAGGCTGGTTGCACAGAGCACACGCCCCCTCTGAGGAGCTGCTCCTGCACCACCCTTGACAGGCTAACTGTACGTTTTACTGTGCCTTAGAGTACAAACCTGCCCAGGTTAGATCTCTGCTTTATCTTTAAACCATCCAGAAGAAATCTACGTGAGCATGAAGCTCAGCACAGGCCTTAAACCAACCCATGCAGCTGCTTAAAGCTGGCTCACATCTGCCCGCAGCTGGGACGTACCAGGGACGTGCAGCAGGTCCCCCAGGTAGTCCAGATGACAGCTTGCCAGCAAAGGCAGCAGCTTTCCTGAAGAGGCCAACATCTACCCAGAAGGGCTGAAAACACCCTGAAGGTGTCCCCAGAAGACAGATAACCTCGTGTGCCTTTTCAGTTGGCGGCGATCCCTGGGAGCAAGCACCAAAAATAACCCTGCTAAGCCCTCGGCAGTCCCCCTGACATCAGTGCAGCGAGGCCAGGGGGAAGTTTGGCTCTGGGGATGGTGCCTGTGGAGAGCATGGTCTGGGCACCTGCTGAAGTGCTAATTGCACTCCTAGACCAGGTCTGTGCTCTGAGGGCTAATCTCCTTGACAAGAGACGCTAAAAACCTGGGCAGCTAATTAACTTACAATCAAGAGCATTTAACAAATTGAGGTCAGGAGCTGCCAGCTGACTTTTCCAAAATGCTCAGCTCACACTGACTGAGATGCTGGCATCTCTGGGAGCCAGGTCTTTAGGGGCACTAGCCCTGACAGCCTCTCTTTACCATGTCCAGGATCAGCTGCTGGTTTTGCACAGCAGTTTGGGGTAAGGCCTGATGGCTGCTGGTTTGAACAACATCTGCAGTGAGCAAAATTGCCTGTGCTGGTTGTGCAGGGACCCAAGCAGGTGGGATGCTTGGGGGTTTTTGCCTGCGGGGAGGATCCTGGGTGTAAGGTTAGCATTTAAGGTGTTAATAAACACAAGGTTTTGATGGGATTTCTGCTGCCAGGAGGGATAACAGTCTGGAAAGATGAGTGCTTGTGTGACTTTGCTTTTATAAATCATCCTTCTTCATGCAGTGTGAAAAATCTGTGGAAAACTTGAGCGTGGTTGAATCATAGGCTAAAAGGCGGCATGTCCTCTTCCCTCAGCGTGCTGGCCAGGCACTTGTGCTGGGACAGGGGCATACACGTGTGTGGCTGCACATGAGTCACGCTAATAGCAGAATACACCATGGGCAAGGGAAAATGGGGGAGTTAATTCCCAGAAGTGCTTTGCCTATGAGGTAGCTAACCTGTGCACTGCTTGCTGCTGGTCTCACTGCTGCCTACCCTGAAGATCTCCCTGGTTGAGGGCCTGGAGCTCTTTCAGGGTGTGCCTGCAGTGCTGCTGCCTTAGGGGATGCTGTGGTGGGTTTGCTCAAGATTGTTCTCTGGGCACCTGGAGTGGGACGGGCTCTCCCATACCACCCCCGCATTGGGGGGGACAGTGGGGTGCTGGGCCACTGCAGATAATGCTGGATGTCTTGTCCTTCCCTCTTTCCAACTTTTCACATCCCCACTGGTGCCTGCATATCCCTTGAGATCACCCATGTCCCGTGTGCATCCACTTTACCATAAACTGGAGGAACGTCCTGTCATCATCAGCCAGAAATTCCTCGTAGAAGCAGCAGAGCACCTGAGGAGGAGCAAAGGTGGGTTGTCCTCAGTCAGTGCTCCAGCAGAAACCCCCAGCCCTGCCATACTCTGAGGTTGCAGCGATGATGCTGTGGGCCGGTTACACCTCGCAGTGATGCCCAGAACACCAGATACCGGGAGCTGTATACCCAGATGGGTCCATTGGGCTGCTCAGAAGGGCTTGGTTGTAAATGGATTTTACTCATGTTGTGCTGGAACCAGCAACTCAGATGCAAAAAAGCAGTCAATGCCCTGCTATCTCATGGCCCTTGGCATGTGCATCTAACAACTGAGGTCACTAGCTGCTAATGACTGCTCACCTCTGCTCTACTGCCCAGCAAACCAGGGAGGATGCTCCTCTTCACTGGCCTGGCACATCTTGGTCACTGATCCAGTGCAAAGTGGTTTGCAACTGTAAGTTTTTTTTCCCTTCCCAATATCTTTTCATATTCACTTTCCAAAGATTTCTCTCTTAAACATAGCCACAGCCCTCACACCAGCCCAGGTGTGCCAGGCTGTACCTCTCAGTCTGACCACTGCCAGCCCCACTCTGTACCTTGCAAATCTCCTTCTGGGCTCTGAATATCCAAGGGGAAAATTCTCCAGACATCAGATGGTTCCGCAAGCTCCTGAGAGTCCTGGTCTCCAAGGGAAGCTGTGGAGTGGTGCCCTCCTGCAGGTAGGTCTTGCATATCTTCTCACCGATCAAATGACGCAGGAAGAAACTGTTTTCTCGGCTAGGGTCCAGCACCACGGGCAGAAATTCTTCCAGGTCATGCCACAGGTCCAGGAGATGGGTCTCCATGGACAGGTCCTGGCACTTTAGGAAGTTCCTGAAGGGCCGTCCTGCGCAGGTCTCAGCGCTAAGGGCCCAGGGAAGGAAACTCAAGGTCTCGATTGGCTTTTTCAGGGATGGTATCTGGACAAGGGGTGCAGAGGGATGCAGGTTAGAGAGGACTTTCTTTTCACAGAGGTCTTTCAGAGGAAGGACCTGCTGTGCATTGGATCCGAGTCTTTTTGGAGAGGTTGCTCCTCCCTTGCCTCCCAAGGCAGTGTTTGCAGGATGCTCTGACTGCTGAGGAATTGATCCCAAAGCGTCCTTATCCAGATGTGATTCCTTTGTGTGCCCAGCTGGCCCTGGCTGCCTTTCTGGTTGCACCTGAAAACTGGGCATCTTCATTTCTTGGGTGTCTCTTCCCCCCTTGACCAACATCCAGATATCTGCTTTGGCCTTTCTGCTGCAGTAGGGCCCTGAGAAACCTTGGCTTCTTTTAATGTGCATTGTGAAGAGATTCTCTGAAGAGCCTGAGGGCTCCTGTTTGTTTGCCTGTAAAAAATGCTCCTGATATTCCTGCAGCAGAGGCTGGCATAATTTCTCTTCTTCCATGTGCATCTTGCAGTGGATGAAGAATTTAGGGAGCCAGTAGCTTTGAATCACAAAAAGGGCCTGTTCCTGCATCTTTCTTAGGATTTCCCTCCTGGTGCTGATGGGCGGAACGTGCCTGGCTTTTGGGAGTGACCCTGAAATGGAAGCAGGGGATCACAATGCAGAGACAACTCCAGGCAGACCATTCCCCTGCCAAACAAAGCGGGTGATGGTATCCCACCTCCTTGGGAGCATCCAGGAAAGTCCACCTTGTTGGGGAGTCACTGCTCATCCCCATCTCCTATGTTTCTTACCAATGATGGCTCTGCAGAGAGTGATGACACTGGAGCCTTCACACAGGTGAGTGGCTTTCAGCCTGTGGAGCAAGGACAGGTAGAGGTCCCTCTGCCTTGTGTCTGACTCGTCAAGCCCCAGGAGCCTTTCAGTAGTGAGCCAGAAGTTGGTCAGTTCTTCCCCTGTAGATCAGACAAGGGACAGGAGTTGGACGGGGTCCTTCGAAGCCCCCCTGATGAGCAAAGCAGCCTGTGGTTTGTTGTTGTTGTTTTTTTTAAAAAAAAAGAAAGAAGGAAAGTTTGCCTGGATGAATGGAGGGAATGGTGTAGAGAAGAGCCAGGGTTGTGTGTGTCCCTGGCGTGCAGCACACACTCTGCTGCTGGCTCATCTTCCAAAGCTCTGTCTGGGACCGCAGTGTTTCCTGGCCCACCAGTGCTTACTTGTGCCCCCAGCACTATCCCAGTGTCTTTCTGGGCAGCTTGCCCATGGCTGGCTGGGAGGGGGCTGTGAAGCACCCTGTGCCCACCTGCCATCCCTTGGATGAAGGCCCGAAAGTGCCACATGCCCTGGCTCCCGCTGATGTACTTCTCCAGCAGCCACTGGTCTGCACTTTGCCAGTTCAGCAGTTTTGCTGTCAGAGAGAGAGTGCAGAGCATGAGGGGGTGCATGCAGGAGCTGTCCCCAAGAAATCCCTCTAGACCCCACCAGCATCCTCTAGCCTCCCTGACACAGGCTGCCAGAGGGCAGCAGCCAGGAGACCAGCAGATCAGACTGAAACGGGAGTTTCAGACAGGTTGTGGTGTCTGTAAGGACAACCTGCTCACACTGGTGATAGTCCGCATGATAGATCATGATTTTTCCCTTGCAAATGTCCATCTTTTTTGCCTGCACTTGTGGCTTGCCCTCAACCTCCTTCAGCTTGAGTTTCAACCTGACCGTAGAAGAAGCACTAATGCACTCAGAAATGGCACTGGAGGAAGCCTCAATGAATTGCTTATTTTTCTGAAATGAAATTCTGCATTACCACTGCCACAGCTTTCTTTCCAGTGACGTTAGCTTGCGTTGACACACCGGCTGACAGAGCAGTTGGCTGGGCTAAGATGGCTCATTTTAGGGGTCAGCAGCACAATTCAGACTTGCTGCCAGTGGGACACACCACAGCATAGGCCCGTTTGCCCAGAGCAGGAAGCATCCGACGAGGAGCATATCTCAGTACCCCACACAGCAGCAAACCTGAAATGCCAGGGCCCCAGTTTCCCAGGTCCAAGGATGCTCTCCAGCCCCACTCCACACGGCACACCCTGCCAAGCAGCTCTTTTGGCTCAGCTCCACGGGGACAGCAAGCCCGTGTTCACCAGGCTGCAGGTTAAATCCCCCCACATCCCTTGGAAGCCCTGGGATCTGCCGCACCCCTGAGCGCGGGAGGTGCAGTGCCTCTTTAGCCCTGAGCAGAGGCAGGAGCCGCTGGGCAGGCACCTTGCGAGAGGAAGCCCTGCCACGGCGACACGCCGCCCGGAGCCGCTCCACGCCGGGTGACTCACCTGCTTCCCCCGACCGAATGAAAGCCAGAAGCTTCTGGCAGAGGACGAGGTGGAGGCAGAGGCTGGATTTGCAGAA